GGTCCTGGATATCCAGTTACACTCACTTCAACCTAAGATTAAATAAGAGTCAGTGGCAGCAACCCAAAATAACTTCTGAAATAATGGACTCTGGCAATGAATTTAACCTCCAACGCACACACTGGACGCCGGGATAGTCGAAAATTAAAGTCCTACTACTTTAACCCAACTCTGAAGACCCAGAAAAACGAACTTAGTGAGGAAAAACTGATGCTAACGCCTGTTAGCTCTGTCTACCAGCGGTTACTGTATCACTGCGGCTTAACGATGCGATGAAATGCAGCTTCCTGTCAGCTACAGCTGAGTAAACTGAGCTAAATGTGCTAATTGTGTGAACCTGCTAACTGCGGCAATATAAGCGATAATACGTACCTCAGAAATCCCTAATACAATGTTTTATTAAATTTTAGAGGCTAGGAGAGCTACATGTGAGACGCCATAATAACATTTGATGTAACTTCCGCTTTCAGCCGACTTCTTCTTCTGCATCATTTCTCTCCCCCCAACTTTTTTCTACCTTAAGAGCTCACTATCGCCGCTAGCGGAGAAGAAATTCATACAATTAAAAAACTGTGGGTATTATTTTCATATTGAATACGAATTTCAACGCAAAGGAGATTTATATTTTAAAATTTGCACAATAATAGGTCATTTGTGGTCGTAGGATAACATTATTTTTCAGTCAGACAGAAAAATTGATACTCCAAATCTGATTTGTGACTTTGTATCCCGTTTTTCATTTCCTGGTAAAAACTGAAATTAAAGTTAATTTAAATAGTGTTTGCAGTAAAACAAACAAAAACAAAAAAACCCTTAAGAGTGGTGAGACCTGCTTACAATAATGTGGCTTTGCATGTAAGTTGTAGAAGATGTCAGATTTGCATTGGGATCGCAAGGACGACATTAGAAATGAGCACATCAAATAGCTCAGGTTGGAGACAAAATTAGAGAGGCAAAGCTCAGATAATTTGGAAATGTGCAGACAAAGGAAAGTGGATATATTGGGCAAAGGATGTTTTTTTTCTTGAATAAACTCAGACTGTACCTATAGGATGTAGCAGCTCTGATATCAAGTCCTTTTTTGAATTCTTTACTTGAGCATTTTAGCAATTGCCATATTAGTCCTGATTTATCTGTCTTTTTGCACACTAATGGGGACCATAATGGACTAAAGGAACAACATGTTTTATTCAGTAAGACTCTAATTTGGTAATGGAGCCCATTGGAAAAGCTGTTTAAGAGGTCATAGGTCACAGGAGTAGTAGGTTTGTTTCCCAGTAAACTTCTATGAACTCCTTCTGAAATCACAAGAGTCACCCCTAGTGGCTATTATAAAGGATGCAGGTTTAAAGCTCTTCTGCACTGGTTTCAGTTTTCAGACAGAGGATATTTCCATCTTTAATGTACAGTTAAGTGTGGGCTCCTATAAGGTTCATGTATGAATAAATGACAACATGGTAAAATACAAATGTAATGATATAATGTTATAACTTACTTTTCACTAATGCAGAAAAAGTAAATTAAAAATCTCTTTGCCAGTCACAGTTGCTTCATTGTTTGTTTAAAATGTTGGACATTTGTGACGATGACAACTGGAAACACAGACATAGACTTATAGGACAGTCTCTTTTTGTAGGGGGGCTTCATCATACATGCAGAAGAAGGGGAAAGCAAACATTGGCAAATAGGAATCCGTGCCTCCAGTATTAAACCTGAAACACGTTGCATACAGTACAACGTGTGGACCTGGATTCTTTTCTCTCAGCCTCGACTGGAACGCACGCATGTATTTTTCTTCAGGCACTTGATGCAGCAACAATAATGATGCAGCTATTTTCAGCATAGATGACTTTCAGGGAAGTAATAATGGCGGGTAATGAACCTGTTGTTGTGGCAATGGCTGCATGCGGCGTACTGGAAGGAGGACAGCGATGTTGTCATTATGTTTGACATGACAAAACGAAGCACTGTAAGAGCAGAGCAGCATTGAATTGAATTTACTATTAACCCTGTTTGTAGATCAGATCAAGATTTTCTTAGATGAAGACAGGAGTTTCTATTTTAGTCTCGAGGAAAGAACAAACTGCTATTAATTCTTGTGGACTGAAAACTGAGAATAAAATTAGTGGCATTTACATTTAAAAAGAGATCAAGTCTGACAACAAACATCCATGAATACATCAGCAAGATCGCCCCAACCAACCGCACGCTCAGTGAATACCTCAGGCAGCAGAAACCCAAGAAAGAGGAGGAAGAGGAGGAACCATGATGGAAGGACAGGCCCCTGCACAGTATGCACCACCAGCAGATAGAGGAACTGCCTGACATCCAGAAGTCCTATTAGTGGCTAACAAAGCTGGACTGAAAGACAGTGCAGAGGCACTAATCATGGCAGCACAGAAACAAAATGGGAGACGCCTCCTAGGGTAGTCGAGAATGACTGAGCGAAGATCCTGTGGGACTTCCAGATACAGACGAACAAAATGGTGATGGCTAACCAACCAGACATAGTAGTGGTAGACAAACAGAAGAAGACGGCCATAATGATAGACGTAGCAATACCGAATGACAGCAACATCAGCAAGAAGAGAAGCTGGAGAAATACCAAGGGCTAAGAGAAGAACTCGAGAAGATGTGGAGGGTGAAGTTACCAGTGGTCCCAGTGGTAACCGGAGCACTAGATGTGGTGACACCCAAACTAGGCGAGTGGTTCCAGCAGATCCCAGGAACAACATCTGAGATCTCTGTCTACAAGAGTGCAGTCCCAGGAACAGTTAAGATACTGCACAGGACCCTCAAGCTCAGGTCCTCTACCGGAAGCCTGGGAACGTGAGGGATAGACCACCTGCAGGGGCTAGAGTGGATTTTTTTGTATATGTATATATAGATTATATATCCTGGAGGGGTCGTGTAAAACTGTTTTATCAGAGTATCTGCATCTTACCAGGACACATTTAGAGACCACCAAGTCCCAAACAAGAGGGTTAGAGGGACTCATGGTGCCACAGGTTGCTGGTTTATGAATTGGACAGCTATGGCTGACGTCTTGTCTGGACTGCACTTTGTTATCACTAACCTTTTTTTTTTTAAAATTCCTGCTTTCGTCCTTTGGTAAGGTTTAGGGACTAAACACTGCTTAGCAGTTTGTAGGGACATGATAAGGCTGTGCTGCGTCAGAGGACCTTTTCCAGGGTAAATAACAATAACATGCATCCACCACATGAGTGCTGGTTTGTAAATGGCACAAATACGTGACTTCCAGCAAGTCGACAGAGGTGTGCATGGGACCGCTGTATCTTTCACATTAACTTTTTACTTTTGCTCTTTGGTTAGGTTTAGACAACAAAACTAATTGGTACATGATCTCATGCTGTCCCTTTCAGACACTGAGGGGTCTATGAAAGGACCACTCGTGACTCAGCTGATCATTAACACAAATATCTAATCAGCCAATCACATGAGAGCAACTGAGTGCATTTAGGTGTGTTGGCATGGTCAAGACGACCTGCTGAAGTTCAAACTGAGCATCAGAATGGGAAGAAAGAAGATTTAGGTGACTTGAAATATGGCATGGCTGTTGGTGATATATGGACAGGTCTGAGTTTTGCAAAACCTCCAATCGACTGGTGTTTTCGCACATAAGCACCTCTAGAAAAGGATCTGGAACAGGGAAATATCCAGTGAGCAATGCGTCAGTTGCATCGGAGAAAATGCTTCGTTGATGTCAGAGGTATAAGGAGAATGGCAAGACACCTTTGAGTCTTTCTCAACAATCACTTGTTAACAGCAAAGTATTTTTACAGTCAGAATATTTTTATCCACTAGCAACAATTTATATGGGCTCACCAAAAATGCCCAGCAGACGATTGGAGAAATGTTGAGAGTGGATGTCTGCTGAATTTTTCCCGGTTCCTTGTTGAACCTGTGCCATGAAAGAATTTAACATTTTAAAGGCAATCACAAGGCGTTACTAATGAAGTGGCGGGTCGGTATACATACATGCATGAAAATGGGACACAGTCACATCCTGACCAAAATTTTGTATATGATTGGCTGAGAGAGAGACTTGCATTTATGCGGGCAGCATTTGCCTGGGAAGCATATTACAGCCTTTTGGCCTTTCATGATCCAGCACTCTCTCCGCACCCTGACAATTTCCACTCACTCCCTCGTGCCATTTAGTTTATATCATTAGCATGAGTGAGACACACAGACATCTGTTTTCATCAACTTTCACTTTTAGGCAATTTTGGGGTTGTTCTACTTCCTCATGTAAGCAGATTTCTCACAGCAACACATTTCTGACTGGAAAAGGCAAAAGTTCACAAGCTAATACATAATTAATGCAACACAATAGAATGCATAATGAATACATTGTTTGTTAAAGCCTGCGAGGGGATTACACAAGAACTATCTGAAGCAATAAGGAAAATCTTTGATCTGGGTTTGTGGTTCACGATGTGTTTTAAGCTCATTCGGTTTAACCTAATATCTCACAGGATCTGTAGAAGTGCACAAAAATCTGTAAAACCTGTGACCTGATATATTTTCTGCCTTTGGATCCAGCTTGTCAATTACTATGAAAGCAAACTTTCACACTATGGCTACTCCTAAAGCAGCTGTTGACAAACTGCTGGGCTATAAATACTCTTTAAAAGAATGAATTTAGTCTTCCTGATCCCCAGAGAGAGCAGACGTGTCAGTCTTGTTCTCCTGTATTAATGGGACAGAGCGTCCGGGCGGTGGGTGGAGGGGGGGAGGGACCTGCACTGCCTCTCATTAAAGACAGTTGCTAAAAAGGAGCTGAAGACATCCAGCATCCAGCACACCGAGACGCACGGATGAAAAAAGCGGCAGGAGTGTGTGTGTGTATGTGTGTGTGAGTGAGCGTCTGTCGGTGTGAATAAAGAAACAGAAACAATTGGGTGTTAACAGTGTGAGCGGGAGGCTGAGCCCAGAGCAGAGGACACGGGAGCGCAGCGAAAGAGGAGGGTGAGAAAGAGTCAAAGAGAGACAGAGGAGAGATCATCAGAGCGTGGAACAGGTTCTTTCTGGAGCCCTCTCACTCAGCCTCAGCAGACATGCCTAACTTTGCTGGCACCTGGAAGATGAAGAAGAGCGAGAATTTTGATGAACTTCTCAAAGCTCTAGGTAAGCCCTCTCTATCCTTCCCTCAGTCTCCTCCACAGCCAGAGCCACATCTCTGTGCAGGGCTGACTATCCATCATGCCCATATAGGAAAAGGGCTTTTCTTGTTCTTTGGGAATGGCATTCCTGACTTCCGACAACATCATATTGTTCGGAGAAGCTCCCTGGGAACAGGAGGCAGAGAACGGAGAGATGCTGCCGCAGGGAAAACCCTTGGCTTTAAGGGAGATAAGAAACAGTGGATGCTAAATTCCACCCTAAACAGACGTTGTATTGTTACATGGGGAGGAAAACGGGGGGTGCACAACATTATTCATGTTAAGCATTTAAGTAGGGCATGCATTAATGCCAGGGGAGGTCTCTGGAGCCCAGTGTTTTCTCTCGCCTCTGTTCTTTTTTCTTTGTTTTTTCACTCTTCTTAATCTTAACTGATGGTTGTGATGGTTTAGGTTCAGACCAGTTTAACTGGGTCATTCAATTGTGTTGCAGTGTTTAGTCACGCTGGCAGCGCCGAGGCAGGCAGAGCATGGCAAAGGGCCGCCTGTCTTTAGAATAATGCAGAACCCTTCAGGGAGAAGTTCCACTGTGAGAGGTTCCAGGAACTCTCCCGAACTGCTGACACCAAAGACTGGATTAAGATTCAAAATGTTAATGGACACTTCAGGTTTTAGCATAAAAAAAATCATCCAGGTCTAATCTATGTTATTTAATATCAATATGGATGCTGGTCGTATCTACTGTATCTGGTCTCCTGACATGTTTGAAAAATGTCTTCTGGTTTGAACCTATAGCCTTAGTTGGAGATCACCGAGGCAAAGACTGAAACAATGCTGGTTTCAGTTTTTATGGATAAATAAATTAACATCACACTTCTTTCATTTCCAGCCTCTATTTATATGGAGTCATTAAGGAGTTTGGAAAGTTCACTAAAGCACCTCTCCAGCAACCCCTCCCCATTTTGCGTTTGACATTCACCAGGCAGCAGCTGATCTGGCTTTAACTCTAATGGGGAAATCAGTCACTCTGCTAGTTTAGCACCTCATCCATTCAGGAACACATTAACATCTGCCACGTCAGATCACCCGGTAGCTCTTACATAAGGACCCCATCAATGAGAATGAGAGAGGGCAGTGATGGGCAACTGACGTGGATGCCAGTGCTGCGGCCTCCACTTTCCATCAACATCTTTATAATTATTTCTTGGCTCAGAGGTTTCCCCTGAAGAAAGAGGGGACAATATGCAGAACGAAAAGACCTGATGTGTGCAAACCTGCATCCAAAGCATGTTGTAAATACTCAATAGAAACTTTAGTCAAGTTGTTAGCACCGTTAGAACCGTTTATAGACCTTGAGACATGCATGCAAATTAAATTCAAAGGAAATGCAGCCTTTTTAGACATGAGGGCAGCCTGCTGGTCGCACTGATCCTCATGCATATTTAATGCTAAAAAAAAACCCCAAACCACTCTGTGATCTCCTTAGACCATGGGTGGGGTCAAGTAAACTGTCAAATGTGTTTTGAATCCTGACTGTTAACACAGCGGTTTGGGGATAGAATGATCTGAGCTAATTAGGGATTGGGAAATGAAACACTTGATGTTGTTTGCAAGCTTATAAACTGTCTATGGATGGGACTGTAAGTCGGCTGTTGGTAGGAGAAGGGCACTGAGACATAAAAGAGCCAGGGTTTTGGCAGGACGCAAGGGCAGATGGTCTTGCGGACTCAAACCGGGCATGCCAAACACTTGTCACACGCCTGCATGGAGCCACGTGCAGGATCACCACTTTTGCACCCGTCAAACAAAAGGAGAAAGTCAACGCTGACCTGACCTGACATCTTCAACAGTTTGTTTCCTTTCCTTGCAGACATGGCTGAATAATCCCTCACAGTGAGTTTAGTGCAGTTTAGTGAAATAGTTGTGGGCTCTGCCCGAGCCACAGAGCATTTATTGTGTTTTCACTCACAAATGCGTCGCTGTCATTCTTGGTTAATATTCAAACATGTTTGGATGCAAACACAAACCAATACAAGGAAACCTGCAGTCAGCTTGTCTCACTATATTTAAGGTCCTGAGCTGATAGAAACTGGCATGCAGGCCCAGAGAAGACTATTTGGGTGGGGCTGAGGGTATATCGATGGCTGGTTTCCTACATCTTGTTACTGTACAGAATAAACAGCATTTCCCACTTTTTCTCATAATGTGTCAAAATTAAAAAAAAAAAAAAGAAACACTGTATCTTTACTAAAACAGACTAAAAAGACTTGTTTTTGGAAATCTCTATTTGACTTCTTTTCAAGTACAAGTCAAAACCCCAACATTTAAATGTCCTCCTTTGAGCAAGCACTTGGCGACAGTGGGAAGGAAAAACTCCAGCAGAACCAGGTTCAGGAAGGAGGGGGCATCTGCCATGACTGGTTGGGGGAGGGAGACAGGACAAAAGACACAATGATTAAGAGAGCTAGAGATGAATAATAACTAATAGTTAAATGCAGAGTGGTGTATAAACACAGAGTGAAAAGAGCTGAAGAAGAAACACTTGGTGCATCACGGGAAGCCCCCAGACCCCCAGAGGCCTATTGCAGCAAAACTAAGGGAGGATTCAGGTTCACCTGATCCATCTCTCACTATAAGCTTTATCAAAAAGGAAAGTTTTAAGTCTAATGTGAAAAGTAAAGAGAAAGTCTGTCTCCTGAATCCAAACTGGGAGCAGGTTCCACAGAAGAGCGGCTGAAAGCTAAAAGGCTCTTCCTCCCACTCTACTTTTGAATATCAGAGGAACCACAAGTAACCACACTGGCAGGCGTGTGGGGTGGCTCATTCCTTGGAAACAAAGACCATGCAAGACCATTTCTGACATCCATATTTCTGCCCTTGCTGGCTGCTGACCAGCTTATTTAGGAGCTGACTGATGGTCAGTCTCATGCGCCGAGTCAGACTCTGAATTGAAGATGCTGGTGTAGCTGATCTGGTTGAGCAGGTGACCCAAGTATTAAAGGCTGAGGTCCTTGCTTGTGGGATCTAGGCTCGAGTCTGATCCAAACCATTTCCTGCGTGTCCCTCACTCTCTCCCCTCTTTCCTGCCAACTGTCTGCCTTACACTATCCAGTAAAGCCAAAAGGTCTCACAATCTGAAAACTCTTTCAAATACTTCTCTCTTCTAAAATCTGAGCAGAGAGAATTTTTGCCATCTTGATCATGTGAGTGGAACCTTGTGAAGTCACTTAACTTGTTTTAATTTTTGCTTTTAATGGAAAATGAGCCAAAGCCAAAGAGCCCAACATTGAAATATTAATAAAACAAAAGAAATTTGGTTTTGGTGAACACCAAAAATGGGTCCCAGAGACAACAAGAGCAAACATAAGGGATAATATTGTGACTCCAAGCACATACCACTGAGTCTGGGTAGAAAAGCCACACCCAACCATGATTCAAACCTTCTGTTTGTGAAGGGCAACCAGTCAGAAGAAAGATTGCATAAGGGGAGAGGAAGTAAAAGGTTTTTTAGACAGTGGAGAGTTTGAACAACTTTAAAACATCATAAAGGATATTTTGAAACTATAAATTAGTGAAACCCAGCTCCAATCGTGAGACTGACCTTTGTTTCTCCCTCTTGTTGACCTGGTTCGGGTTGTGTCCATCCAGGAGTGAACGCCATGCTGAGGAAGGTGGCCGTGGCAGCGGCCTCCAACCCTCATGTGGAGATCCGTCAGGACGGGGAGCAGTTCTACATCAAAACCTCCACCAGTGTGCGCACCACTGAAATCAACTTCCACATCGGTGAAGAGTTTGACGAGGAGACGGTGGATGGACGGAAATGCAAGGTAAATTTGGTGAGAAGTAAAAAAAAAATCAAGTCGTAACCTTAAGTTAAACGTGGTCCAGAATAAAGGCTAAAACTAACTAAGTCTATTTTTTTTGGCTTAGTTTGGTTTAGTTTAAAGGTATGTTTTAGGTCGTTCTAGCAGGCTCAATTTTGTCTCTCAGGTTCTTGAAAATGTTAAGTTTGCATATTATTTGGCAAATTAAAACCAGAAAATAATGGGACGGTCTGGAATAGGAGCACCACTGTCAAAAGGATTTTATTTTCATTTATTGTCAAAATAAATAAAAAATCAGCAGAACTGGCTCTTTGAAAACAGTCCAGTTACTTAAAAAGAAAAACCCACAAACCAATCACTTAATGCAGAACTTATTTTCTTTCTGCTTTCTAAAACCACCTATGTCGGTGGTTTTAGAGACACAAAGGTGTCATAAATATTTATACCGTGTCACTAGCACAGCCCCTTGAGGTCCGCATGTCCTTCTGTAAAGTGGTACAAGAGGTAGGTGTAGCTCTGTAGAGAGAAAGAGATTTCAAAACAAGATGTGTGGATTTTACTGAGCAATCGAGTCATAATTTCTGGATGAAAAAAAAAGACACGGCTGTTGAGATTTTTCAATTATATTTGTGGTGCTTATGAGAACCACATTGCTTTTACTTCCCTTTTCCCCACCCTCATTTAAATGTTAAACTCTATCTTTTTCTGTTTTTTTCAAACACAATAATTTTTGTGCTGTTTTTCTGTGAAGCAAATAAGATGCGAAGCAGATGGTTTATGTTACAGTCACCCATGTGTTAGGAGAAGCTTGATTAATGGTGTGACTGTGGGACCACAAACCCACTGTGGGGACTCGCCTCCCATGTGCTGCAACAGAAGTCCCCTGAAGGTGGACATAGAAACTTTAAAAAAAATCAGAATTAGTTTAAGTGTAAGGGTTAGGATGTCGTGGGTATTGCCTCTGAACTGCTGACAAAGTGCCTTAGAGTTCATTAAAGTTGGCTTAAGCATTTTATACAGATCATTGCAGCTGTTTGAAAAAAGAAAAAAATCATGCACTAATGTGAGGTTTAAATCAGCAGGCATCCTTGAACACATTAATTTCATGAAAAGATGTGACATATAAGCACAATGTTGTAATCTTTGGTACGTCTCAAATAGTTGTCTTTGGTCTTCTTTTCCAGCAGATATTACATGCAATCATGCAATCAAGCTTCATGCTTTAAACTGTCTGCATTGTTTGTACTGCTGGTAATTCTTTCTGTCTTCAAGAGCTTCAAAGCTGTTTCAAAGGCCCGAATGAGAAATTAATACCTCCTCACAGTCTCATCTATTGGTATCATGCTCACGTCAGAGCAGAGAGATTAAGGGCACTGGTGAGAGTTTCTCTCTGAACCTCTGCAGTCCCCGAAGGAGGACTCTTTCATCCTCAAAAGCAGCTAAAGTTTTGACACAGACATATATATGTATATATATACATATATATTGTGTGTGTGTGTGTGTGTGTGTGTGTGCGCCCCAGGGGGAGCAGAGTGGACTAAGGATGTAATAAAATTGTTCATTTAATAACAAATCCCAGTAAAGCAACAGTCACTCAATGTGTAATTCATAATTACAACAATCTGCATATCTGAGGGGAGGAAATGTAGACATCCTGAACTAACAGCTGTACTCTGTTGCTTGTGATGATAGTGAGCTCGTCTCTTAGAGACATCTCTCGATACGATCTGAACAACAAGGCATTTACATCATCCGTAAAGTGAATATGCAGGCTGCACAATTAAATAAAGAGGAAGCGGGGATCGATTAAGCCTGATAAGGCCCATGTGAAAACTGACCTTCTTAGAGCTGAGCGCCACCTGTGTCTGCATATCAACGAATAAAATGATCTCATATGATCAGTTGCACTCCTCTAAAGTTGACCTAATAGAAAATTAATCACTTTACTTTTGTCACTTACATCATCTGCATTCAGTCATTTCCTGATATTACAGAGATAATATTTATGTACTGTAAATGGAGACGTGGACGTTTTTCTACTTTATATTTGTTACTGTAATATCATTAGTTACTTTGTTTATGTAGTTTATACATGGTGTCATATTGTTTATTGCTATAAATGTCAAATCTGTGTGAAGGAAGGAAGAAAAATGAACTTTTGGTGAAGCATATCTGCCCTTTGGTTTCACCTGCACAAGTGCCAAGGTGAATTGGTTTTCCCTGTGTCGGGATCAAGCACTGGGCTGTTCAAATCACGGACAAACAGTATCCCACAGTTATTTATGTTTTAAACCCATTTTGCACAGAGAGGCATTTTTTGAAAAATATATTGATAGCAATGTTGAATATTATAGCACATGAAAAAAAACAAACAACTATGCGTAAAATAATCACACCCAGCAGGGTTGTCACACCATGAAGCCTCTGCCTTTCTAAATGGAGGGACTGTAACTGCGTGTGTATATGTAAGCTTGTAAAACCTGAAGATAGTCAGATTAACAGTATTTTGTCTCTATCTGTCATTCTGCAATTCATCTCATGTAAACAATAACGTGGCGCACAGCGTGATGGGAAAAAAGGCACATACCTTTGACGTTGCGTGACCAACTCTGTATTCCTTGTCCACACAATGCAAAAAAGGAGTTTTAAAAAAATCTCAGTTTTCGGTGATTCGAAACGCCGTTTGTGGACGAAACAGCTGCGTTTTGAAAAATACCAGTGTAGATGTGGACACAGTGTAAAATAGTTAGTAGTTTATTTTATTACTACCTGTAATTTATTGCAGATTACTTGTATTTGTTTAAGTGTTAACTAAATGTTTGAGGTGTGAAATAAACCGCAATGGAGCAAAATATGGGTGTGTGTGGTTGGATGATGTGTTTGTGCGTGTGCGTGCGCGCGCACGCGAGAAGGGGGCGGGGCGAGAACATTTTTCTTGTAAAACAAAGGGGGGCCTAGCAAAAAAAGTTTGGGAGCCACTGATTTAAACATCTGTCTTTCTGGGCCTATAATTGATATAAAAATTATTGTATGTAAGAGGGAAAAACATATTAATTTGGGTTGTGGTACTTAGAGGAGACATACAACTGAGCATAAAAGTTAACATGACTAAATTGAGGATTTTATTTCCACACGTGCAGATTTGCAACGAGCATTTTAAAAGCAAGATAGTCACTTTTACATTTGCCTGTGTTCAACAAGAACTTGGAGCTGCACAGCATAAATCCTGCAGCTGGGAGGGATTCTGTATCTAGCAGTAAGCTGTCACCCTGCTATAAGTGCCAGGAGAAAAGTAGCTTGGAATAAGTGAGAGCTGTGCTGCAGTATATTCACCTATGTGAATATAGAAAGTGCAGTGCAGAGAGTTACATAACAGATGTGCGAATGAGAATCTTGTCGACCTTCTCAAACCTATATGAATTTGGAGATCAGTCATATTTTTAAAATACTTTGATAAGATATTGTCAAATATTTGTCAAATATTTGAACTTTTAGCTCCTCCGTTTAAGACAACTTTCCTCTGATTGGCTGCCCCTCTTAGAAGATTTAAACAACAGGTGGGTGGGGCATCTGCACCTGACATCCCTATATTGGGAATACTGCCACTAGTTAACATCATACAGAGATTAGTCTTACCCACTGGCTCACTGGGTTTACTTGTACAGTACACACATGAACCTACATGAACTCCATATATAAAACTCTGTTAATGGTAATATTAGCAACCATCATTAAAACATAAAGAGGTTCCCTTTTAATGTTAATCTACTTCATTGCAAGTCTCATAAAAAATGATCAAAAAACACGCTATACCTTTATCATCTATTCGTGAGGGACTGAAGTCGTTTAGAGACCTTTTTTCTTTTTATTAGAATTGGTCATCGACATTCAGTAGCAACTTTCACAGTTTTCAAGCTGCTTTTCTTTATCCTGTATTATGTAATTTCCCCGCCAGCTTGCTCTTCCAAAAAGCTAGACAGTTGTCTGGTTCCATTTTCAAATCTGTAATGGAAAAGTTAACATCCCAAAATATTCCTGGGCAACAGGACGAGTGAAATTCCTGCTTGTGGAGAAGAAATTCTGCACACGGAAAGGAAACTGTGTAATTGCATGCATGTGCTAGTCAATATAATTCAGCCCAAAGCCTGAGAAATTGGAGATACAGTGTGTATTTATCCCAAACCACAGCGTCCCTGTGGGTATTTGGACTGAACTCATTAACAGTTTGAGCCTTGTATCTTTCTCTCTGTAGCACTGCAGATAATACCTGAATGCTTTAGCTGCACTCACCGGATAACATGTGACACACAGACTTGTTGTCTTTACCTTTTGTTTTATGGTTTGATCTACATGTTGCAGCCAGGGGGAGCAGACATGACCCATTTTATATGACAGCGTTGGCTCCCTCTGTCTGAGCCCTGGGGCTGGGCTACACAGCTCTCAGCATCTCTGCTAGGAAGGCGACAAGTCAAGTTACCGTCACACATTTCTCACCTCTGGTTGCTTGGGCTAGCGCATCAGCGTCACTGCAATTAGGGGCGAAAGGCTTTATGAAAGACAAAAGGTACAGGCAGAGGTGTGCCTGACCCTGGATTTAAATGTAAAATTGTCTTTAAATTAAAGTGGCTGTCGGGCCACTTTAAATAGGGGTTTATATTTATTGTGTTTGGCTTAATCAAATTTGTGTTATAGCATGTACAGTAGGGGAAATAATTATTCAATCCACTTCTGAATTTGTTTGTTCACTCACGAAGAAATGAACTGTACATATTTTTTATGGCAGCTTCATTTTACTGGAGACAGAATAACAACAAAAAAAGACGGAGGATAAGAACCTCCTTCCCTCAGTCCGAACACTGAAAATGGGTCATGGATGGGTCTTCCAGCAAGACAAAGACCCAAAACAGCCATTCCAACAAAGGAGCGGCTAAAGAAGAACACATTAAGGTCATGGAGTGGCCTAGCTAGTCTCCAGACTTCAGTCCTTCAAGTTGTTGAGCAGCAGCCAAGAAACCTAAAGGAGTCCACCCTGAGATGTCTGCAAACTGACCAACTTCAAGAAATGTCTTACCACCAACAAGGGCTTGTCCAAAAATTAGATAATGTTCACGTCTTTGCAAGACTTACAAATTCAGCACGGGACCAAATATTTTAAATTATAATATAAATAATAATAACAAAAAAGTCTTCTAGCTAGTTTTGATGTGCAGCAAATTCTTCTCGTTCTGCATTCTGACTGATCCCATGTTTCTCTCCTGAGACCACAGAGTGCCTGAAACAAGTGAAAAAAGAGGAGATGGTTGCAAACCAGCAGGACATTTTCACAGAAAAGAAAATGACAACAACCTCAGTGTTGGACTGAGTTCAGCCACTAATTAGGGGTTATGCAAACAGTGCTGAACAAATCCCGGACACTCACGGGAGGCTGAAACTGAAAACACTGTATAGCATTGATGGTTCAACATTACAAGGAGAATTATTTTTTAGCAGTTGCCAATTTACAGATAAAGCAACACTATTATTTATTTGAAGCCGGTCTTTCCAATATGCACCCAATCTTAAGCTTATTTAACCACTTACTGTGTATTAAACTACTAAATAGACCATTATTACCACTGAGCTCCCTGCAGTTTGTTGCTGGCAAGGCTTTAATGCCCCCTTTGTCTTAAAACAGCTGTTTAGCTTAAGGCTTTAAATCAAAACAGTAAAGCTGTAGGGAGATGAAAGGTGATGAAATGCCCCACATAATCACGATTTTATTTTAAACACAATTAAAAATACTGCTGCATATTTCAAGGTAAAAATGAAGCAATGGTGGTCAGCAGCAAGCCTGCTGTTCCCTTGTGTGGCAATTATTACACAATTCTAGAGCAAAACCTGCAGAAGGCAGGACCCGCTGACCCTGGCACATGTGCCACAGGGGCGAGAGGGAGTGCGCGGGTGTTGGCGAGGTTTCAGGTGGATGAGGTTGGCAGAGAAGCCCTTACTGGGTTTTAGCCTTCAGGCTTGGCTGCACCAGTGGTTAAAAGGATTACAAACTGATCTGCACCTTGTGAAGAGCAGAGGGCTTATTAACACCACCACAAGGTTAAAAAGCTCCGGTTAATCTGTGCAAGTGTGGTAACTGATAAGGTGCTTCCTGTCAATGCCAGAGGTGACAGCGAAAGTTAAAGGAGATACGCTTTAGTGGAGAGAGGTGGTTATTATCAGGTAATTTACTACCTGCAATTGTGGTTTTTGCATTTGTAAATGTAAAAAATCATCTGAGCACAACATAGCAAAGAGCACTTTCTTCATTTATGCTGATGGGCAGCACTGATGATGGTGGTGTCCTTTTTGCTAACGAACCACTGTAACACCGGCTAATGATAAAAATTTCTTTCTAAGGGCGGACCGTTTACCTTTTGCTTAGTCAAGTTTCACATGACCTCGATGTACATCTTAGAGAAATACTGCTGTGTCAAACGCTTTAATAAATACCCAGTGATTTTCATAATTCCACCTAATGTTGTGTGTAGCACTTCAACCTAAAGAGCAATGCTTTCAATGACAAAAAATATAGGAAATGATGCAATAATTATGATATGTTAATCTGATGCAGTGGTATTGTTTGTACACCATCGTAATAATGCTGGTACAAGATCAGCAGTGCAACTGACCAATCGCGTTCAATTAGCACTAGCCTTAAAGCTAGCTAACGCTCGGATGTCAGATCGGATATGCTGCTTGGTAAAGTGTTTATTACATTGTATAAATTAATAAAGAAAAGAGTGGAAATGTTTACCATTTTTACCACAAGGGAGTTTTGTATAATCAAGCACATTTTTTTCTTTTTTCCCCACATGCAAAGCTATGACATCACAACAACATGATTGGTCAATTGCGATGTTGATCCTTGCTCAACATGATAATGGCGGAAGAACACTAACTCTGGGGTCTGAGACCCACCACAGTTACACAGGTTTACACTGAGATATTCATTGATCGATAATAATCTAAAGATTCTGAAATTTAACAGCCAACATTAGCTTTTTTTCTTCTCTATTTTCTCATATGCTCATATGATATTATTATGGGATACTGAAAAATATGCCCGCAAAAGCCATTTTGAAACAATGAAAAAATTGCAAAGACGCATATTAGATGAACGAAATGACAATTTGTGGCCATAAGTTCCCGTGGGAATCTATCACTAAAGAGGTTGCGATTTTCTTTTCAAATATCTGTCATCTTTTTGTAGGAGTCAGTTTTAAACGGTTCTTAGAAAAAACTGTGCATCTGCCCTCTCTTTACCAGTCTGACACGTCATTTGTCTTCTGGCAGCTGCAAGGAAAGGCAAAGGATAAACACTGCCGTTAGAGAGATAATGTGATCAAACTGTGGGAGGAAGCTGAGCGAGAGTGTTATTTTGGGCTCTGAAAGAAAGCTTGAAAAATCCAACATAAAACTTTAAACCTTAACAGGAAATGAGATGTTTTCCCTCCACATCCCATCATATTATTTGCATCTGGTAAAACATGAGAGACTAAAAGAAAAGCAAAGACAGGGGATTTTCTGATAAGTAAAACACTACAGACAACACTGGAAAAGGTGAAACACATGCTGCAGACATTGGTCTTGGCCTCAAATGTGTGTACATAAGCACTTAGGATGCATGAGAATTTATCTGTGACTAGGAAAGCAAAAGAAAGATCAAATGAAGAAAAAAGAAAAAAGGCAAAGAGTGGAAAAAAGAGCTAAAGAAAGAAAGTAGTAGATGATCTGGCAGGAATATCATCAGCTGACTTTTTTATTTTTTATGTCAGCTGCACAGCTGTTACTGCATGTGACGTTTGGTAAAATCTGTCCACAGATATATAAATATGAGCACCATATAAAGTCTTTGTGGTATAGTTCCTGCTACAGGAAATCTCTCTAAGACTTGCTACTGATACACACAGAGTTACAAAGTGAAAAACCATATCAGCCTTGCTGTCGTGGCTGATAAACAGAGGGAACGCTGGAAGAAAGCCCTGCTGTTCTTCAGCTTGGCAAAGACTGTGGACGGCAGCCCGCGGGGATCTGTGATGGCTTTGGCTACCTTTGATATGGTGATTAACATTTGCCTCTGAGAAACCGAGGTGGCTGCTGAATTCAAATCAGAGGAATGGTGCTTTTTTCGAATTACAAAATAGCACAAACTATCAAACAAATGATCAGAAATCAAAACACAAATACTCCACCATGTGAGAGTTCATATTGTAGAGATTTTTTAGGGTTTTTTAAGCTTAAATGCAGTCTTGGATAATGCTTTGACAGCTTTGATCAGTTCCAGGCTTTGGAGTGAGATCACTTAGCTAATTAGGATGCAATGCTGAAATGAAAAATGCAGCTGGTTGTATGGAGACGAAGCAAACTTCAACTGTGGGAAATCAGAGTCAGAGAAGAATAAGGCAGTGTTTTTATTCTTGAGTGACAACCTAGCCACCAGTTACAAACTGATATTTTGTTAAATTCAATAAAATAATGGATTAACAAAATAAAACATTTGGTGTTATAATAGAGCTGGTGGTACACTGAGTTTCCAGTCTTTGTGCTAAACTGCATACCTCCCTGCTTCACTCTGTTAAACCGGTAGATGCCAGTGACACTGATTAAACTAGAAAAAAAAAGTTCTCTAATTCTGAATTCTTCTCTCATTTTTAAATATATGAAATCTGAGTAAAATTACAACAAAGAGTAAATTAACATGTATGATGTAAAATGACTCCTCAATGAATTCGTATCCAGAAAGAGAAGCACATTTCCTAAAATATCATACAGTTTATTTAACAGAACAGCTGTGGAAACAGTGGACAGCTGAAATGAACTAGAAGGGCAGTTTATGAGTCCCACACCGTCTAAATTATATACGCTGACCTTTTTGGGGGGTTTTTCTCTCAAGTAGGCTGTGTTGGATTTTTTAGCAAATGTGAAGCCAATGGAGGTCTGCCAGGACTGGCTGTAATGTGTTACATGCATCAAGTGTTTGTAAGCAGCTTTGCTTGTTGTTCTAATTCATGTGTGGCCGAATAAAGTTGTTCAGTCAGGTTATTGGCGAATACGTCCACTGAACCAGTACATGGCTAGACTGAAGATACATTAATGCTGGCAAATGAGTTTAAAATTGGTAAATGTGTAAATGTTCTACAAATCGTTGCTATATTGATATTTTAAATATACAGTAAAACATCAAGCTTGGGAACTATATATCAACCAAATGTGAAACCTTTATGCATTCACAGAGTTCTGCTGTGTACACAGTACCCTTACATTACAGTAACTCATCAACCATTTTGGTCATTTTTGGTAATTCTGTAATTTTGGTCATTTTACAGCCAAAATTTGAAACTAAGTCCACGTGGCCTGTGAGCTGTCTGGGTAATAAAAGGTTAAATCCTACATTTCTTTCTAATGGCGATTTCTCAGAAGTTTCTCAGAAGTCTTTCTCGTGTTCTCTGATTTATGAGCTCGGTAAAGATTTTCCTTGTGTATTTATGATCTCAGTTACTACTTTTAGTTATTGTTCAGCATAGCTTAATGTTCATGTTTGAAATTATTGCTCCCATTTAGAATGAAACTCATGTTAAAGCTGGACATGTTTTAGGGTGTGCTACCTTGTGATTGGCAAGTCAGCAGTGTCTGAACACACAGCATTCTTCGGTTTCTCATAATGCGTAGTTTAAAAAAACAAAACAAGATGGCGGCGGTCAAAATGCTGAATGCATCTTTGACATGCAGTCTGTGAGCAAAACTCACTTCTGGCTAAATCAACTTAGTGCTGATGCTCACATGCATTAAGGGTAAAATTCAAAAAGCCCATTTGGGAAATGATCACATTGCACACCCTGAAACAGTGTAAAAGTGCAACATGAATATATATCTTCTAGAAAATCGTGCTGACCCTGGTGCCTTTTTGTCCCTGTCTTCCCAGAGCCTCGCCACCTGGGAGTCAGAGAACAAAATTCACTGTCAGCAGACTCTGGTGGATGGTGACGGCCCCAAGACCTTCTGGACCCGAGAGCTGAATGGAGATGAGCTCACACTGGTGAGCGCACACTAATAAGTCATCTTCTCACTGAAAGCCTCTTAATAGATGACCGCTGTTGCTTAGAAAAAAACCCCAAAGCAACTTTACCAACACAAAAGCAGAAAAGTCGAGGCTAAATGAAGAGAAAGACAAAGAATGAATGTTCGCTTAAAAATGTTATTTTACACGGATCGAGAGCAGGATCTGTAAGGTTTCTTCTGTAAGGCATCACGGCTTGGACCCAGAAGACATCAGATGCATTAAGATGTGCCTTTTCAGCAACTAGTGTACTCTGTTTGAGAAATGGTTAATAAAACTCAGGCAGTGAGTGTATGAAGTCACCCTGGAGATTCATCCATAAAGGAAATGAGAGAGGCTGTTTCCCAAGGAGGCAAGCTTTCATCCACCCCGCAGAGAGATGTGAAAAGAGAACAAGAGGGGCTGCTACGCTGACATTGCAGTAATACCCCCTGTATTTATCCAGATTAATATGGGCAGGAGTCAATGGGTCTGAAGCCCCTCAAATGACGTGCAGGGGAGCAGAGCAACGCATCAGAAGACCAGTTCTCAGGGCCTCAACAGCTTTCTATTCTCAATGTTCAGCGCTCCCACACTCATTCCTGTTGTTCTTATGAGATGAATATCCAAAAGGCCAAAGCCTGAAACAATATGGAAGGTTTAGATGCTGAAAATAAGTCATCACAGAATGTTTATATAGCTCTATATTACAGGCCAGAATCAAGCAAGAAACAGCTTAAATCAAATCCTCAGTGTCTAAATAGTATTTTGCTCGAAGCTCCTTGTTCAAACTGACAAGCTGAGGAGGCTGAACATATGAATTCTTCTCGAGGCGATAAAAGCAAAATGTGTTACAGAGCTTGCCCCTCTGGTAGCCATGCTGCTGTGGAGGAGCTGAAGCATTCACACACTTACGGAGAGTGATCCTGCTGAACTGTGACAGAAGCTCACGCTCTGTGCTTCTCAGCTCTCCTCACTGTTATTATCCATGTACGTCGCTACACAGTCAGAGAAGCTTGAAGCCACATTTGTCCATGCTACTGTAGAGTTTAAAGAATAATATGTAGAGTTTAAAGAATAATATTCAATGTAATTTAAACTGTCCATCCATGATAATACTAAGGAGTAGTGTGCCATTGCCTTGCCATTAACCTCTGGGTTGCAAAGGGGCTTGCAGAGAAGCAGCACATGTGCACAAGCTGAAGCTGATTAAACAGCATGGGGGATGTGACAGGATAGGACTCACGCAAGGCTGTCAGCTGAGACATCATCTGATCTGCCAGGCTGATGTCTAACCTTGACTCAGTGGTCTACGCTCTGGTCTATAGATTACTAAAATGACTTTGGAGTGGCAAACATAATCGCTGCCTGGATTACATTTGGAGCCATCTGCGGATAGGTTTAGGCAACTAATGCACTATACTCTGATAGGTCTCTGATAGGCTCCTTTGGTTTGCATTTCATCTCACTGGACAGATTATAAGAGTTCTTAAGCAGGATTACCAAATGTTAAACTTTAAAAAACATTTTTTTAAAAACCCTCCAGACTTTTTATCTCCCTAATTTGTTATAAAATTGCAAAGACCAAATGCAAGACAGAAGGCAGATGAAATGTAAGGGAAATAAATGCATAAACACTACTGGGAACACTGGGAAAATAAGACTATTAGAAACACGAAACAAGAAATTCAACAAACAGAAACAGAAACACACCACACACTAAACAAGCAGGTTTACATGGTTTATGTTTTTTTAAACTCATTGAAGCGGAAAGCCAACACTCTTGATTGCTTTATTTCTAAATCACTGAACGAACAGAGGCATCATTTACTAATTGTTCAGCACGTCATGAAGCACCATTACGAGAACGAGAGAGCCACGAGTCATCTTCACACCCAGATGCCTTTCTGTCAGACAAGGAGCTGCAAAACCCGAAAGAAATATTGTGTGAATCTAATTTGAAGCTATCTGCTTTAAAAAAAAAAAAAAAAGCGACTAACAATAGCAGAGCTTCAGCTCCTGACTCAAAGGAAGACTCAAGATCACACAGCAATGGTCTGAATGTGGCACATAACTAGGGCACATTTCCATATGATTTGCATGATCCGTTTAATTGGTTTAAGTCTGGAAATACTTGAGGGATAAAGTTGTTGTGTGGACGTCTTTTTGCAGCTGCATCATCTTGAAATGAAATCAGAGAACAGAAGGCTGGGCTCGAGCTGTGCATAAATCAGTCATTCAGAAGTTTCCTTTGGTTTCATCATCGGCAGTGTGAGGTAGACCCAGACTGATGAGCATAAATGTGACACTGATGTAGTGGCACATACTTCACTATTAAAAGGAGAAAAGTTTTCTTCTTCAGCCCACATAATCTTATTCTCTTGACATTATCCTGAAGAAAAAAGCAGATTGTTGTTTGGTTCAGAATTCAAAGCAAGAATACTTTCTAAGGAGAAAGTAAGTAGATTTGAAAGTATCTTTCAATCACTCTGATTGACAACTAAATGGCCAAAAATAAAATGGGAAACCTATTAATATGAGTCTAAAACCATTATAACACATGTGTCGCAGCCCAGAACCTTTCTAGATGTTATTCGATGGAGGCGTGTGTGGAAACATAAATGTCAGGCACAGACATCGGATATTTTTATCCTGCCAGCTCTCTAGTATGAAATCTATACAACGCAATTCAGATCCCAGTGGGTGGGAGTCATGTGCACTGTTACCTGCACCTTTAACTTGAACTTTCAGGCCCCTCTTCAGTGGAACCATTTCCAGTTTGGATTTGGGAGACAGTCACTATCTCTACTTTTAAGATTAGGCTCAAAACCTTCCTTTTTGATCAAGCATATAGGTTTTTTGGGGGGCCTTTTTCAGCTTTATTTGATAGGCTCAGTGAAGAAAGGACAGGAAAGCAGGGGCAGACTCAAACCACTCTGTCAGGGTTCCTGGGTCGTTGACCCAGTGATTTCAGTTTGTTCATGTTCAGTTTAGTTCGCCACATTAATGTTCTCACTTCCTGTTTTTTCCCGTGTCAGCTTGTCTCCCGTGTCATTAGTCAGATTATGTTCAGCCCTGTACTCACCTGTTTCCAATCATTGTCATCATTCAACCTGTGTATTTAAGTTCCTCGGTTTCACCAGTTCTCTGTCGTGTCATTGATGTTGATGTTCATGTCGTCCCTCCGTCTATATGTTCAGTTAGTCAGTCAGTCAGCCAGCCATTCTTCCAGTCTTTCAGCCAGCCAGCCAGTCACTCCATCGTTCCTGCTTTGTTCATTCACCCTCCAATAAATCCTCTTCATTTCTGCACCGTGAGTCCAGCGTTTGGGTCATATCTTCCACGCCTCCACACACAACCTCTGACACACTCTCAGCCGTATGACATGTGGTTGTCGCTGCTGGGGGCTTCCCGTGATGCACTCTGCGTTTATACAGCACTTTGCATTTATTATTAGTTATTATTAACCTCTGTCTCTCTTCCACGGTGTGTCTTTTGTCCCGTCTCCCTCCCCTCACTTCCAACCCGTCGCACGGCAGATGGCTGCCTCTCTCTGAGCCTTTGTTCTGCTGTAGGTTTCCTTCCTGTTAAAAGGTCTGTGAAGGTCCTCAGTCATCCAGGTGATCGTAGTCTAATGAGCTTGGAAAGAAAAGCATCTGGACTTCTTTAAGTTTCTTGAAATCAAGAAGTAAAGAAATCAATCAAATCAAGAAACCTAAAGAAGTCCAGACGCTTTTCTTTTCAAGCTCCTTGGACTTCCTGTTAAAAGGGAGTTTTTCCTTCCCACTGTCACCAAGTGTTTGCTCAAAGAGGTTCTCTGACTGTTGGTGTTTTCTCTGTATTATTGTAGGGTTGGTCTTTATCTTACAATATAAAACGCCTTGTTATGATTGATGCTATATAAATATAATAAAACTGAACTGAACACCCATTTAAAGTTTAACGGTGAACAACTGCTAGTATGATTTTTTTTTTTTGACCAAAGAATTCAGCAGCTATCATCAGATTCTGGATGTGAGCGAGGGGGAAACTGAGAAACTAGAATCTTTTTGTCACCTTTGGCACAGATTTTTGGTTCTGTAGACAATTTCTTTGAGGACACCACCCCTGATTCCCCCTCAGATACCTCACTGTTGTTTAAATGGTTTAAGAGAACATTTTTAAATTCCTGTCTTAGGCCCACCTGTGCCACTCTATTTAAAGAAAGAAAAATTCTGGAAATTCTCCTGTATATACAGCAGAAATTTATTTTTTTTAAAAAAGCATATAAACTTTAAATTTATAAAGAAAACAGTGGAGAACAAATGAAATTCAATTTCATAGCAAACAAAGGACATATTCAGAAACAGACATAAGCCATTTCCAAATGAGCCCATTGCACTTCAACAGTAATAAGACTACAGGAAACACATCAGTACTCTCATGTGAAATACAAAACCTGTTCATGATCAGTCCTGGGAGATCGGTTGAGAACACATATTTTCTGGTATTTTGTGGTCCTGCATGTCAACACAAACTATGCTGCGGTGTCTGTGTCTTTGTGCAAAGGGGGGAAAAAATGTTTGCATTAGCTCAAGGCTCGGCTTTTGTCATCTCAGTGTGTTTAGAACAGATGATAAAGTCACATTCTTTCAGAAAGATTTAGTGTGCACTTATTTGCACACTCAAAAACTGAAAAAGTCCAAATGCCTTAGGACTTTTAGGCAGGCTTGTTGAAGTTTCAAAATGTGACCATTATAAGCGTTAATCACTATCACATGGATGAAATTATCTTTTTGTCCCCTCCAGATTTTTGGTGCGGATGACGTAGTGTGCACAAGGATTTATGTCCGGGAGTGAAGCGCTACGACCTTCATCAGACCGAGGCAGACGCCCATTTGGGCCACAGCTCATTTAAACCCAACAACACATCATGCTAACATGCTAACGCATTTGCGACGTATCCTGTATTATCTCTCAGCATCAGCCTGCTTAGTACCCCATAGCGATGTCTCTGTAATCTGGTTATTAATAGTGAATATTGTGTCAGCAGTACAGTAGCTGGGTATCTCCATATCCATACGTACAATCCCGGTGTCGGCTGTTTAAGTAGGAGTTAGTCATCAGTTGCATCGATTAAATGTTCATGTTCAATGAGAACACACAATAAAAAATGGAAACAAATAGTCTCTGCGCTCATTTCTCGATTACATGAATTTAAAGTGAAAGGAATAGTTTGGTGAAAGCACCACAAGGAGAGAAACGGCGTTCACATGTATGAGTTGCTTCAGTGACAATGGTAGCAATAGCACCTTTCTACTCTACCTGCGCACTCAAAACACTTTATCCAACATGCATCATTCACCCATTCCCTCACATTCATACAAGCACTTTTTTACTATCGAACATTCACACTCTGATGGATGCAGGATCAAACCACCACCCTTCTGGCTAGTAGATGTCCTGCTCTACGTCCTGAGCTACAGCCACCCTATGAGCATGCAGTGCAGTCACTCACGAGACAAAACAACTACTGGCATCATCCTACTTTGAATAAAGTCCTGATCAACTAGCCTTACCAAGACCCTTCCCCAGTTTACATGGCTGGAAAGAGAGCTGCAACTTCACTGGTAACACAAAACCGCATGTATAGAATCAGTAAAATCTGCAAAAATAAATAAATAATTTGCCCTCTTCCTGGTTTCTTATCTTCTTTTTTTTGCATATTTGTAATACATATTTCAGATCATCAAACAAATTTTAATAATAGACAAAGATGACCTGAGTAATTGCAAAGTGCAGTTTTTGAATGATGATTTCATTTCTTGGAGGAAAAAGCTCTTTCCAGACCTTCCTGGCCCTGTGTGAAAAAGTAATTGTCACCTTGTTAAATCGAGAATTTACTGAGATTAACCATGTTTTTCGGAAGGCCGAGTCATTTTCATTACATCTCTCAAAAACATCTTGATGATCCCACAAGACTTTTAGGAAAATTTTCTAACGTCTGATCTGACAAAAGCTGAATTTTTTTGAAAGGTTTGCAACCGGTTACTTCGGGCATAAAACTAACACAGCATTTCATAAAAAGATTACACAAACAGTCAAACATGGTGGCGTTAGTGTGATGGTCTAGGACATGGATGGCATGCTGTAACTGATGGAACCATGAATCCTGCTCTCTACCAGAAAACTCAGGAGAACTTTTGACCTGAAGTCCTTGAGTTACACAGCAGGACAATAATCTGAAAAACACCAGCAAGTCCACCTCTGAATGGGTTAAAAAGTTTCTCATTCAGTTTTCTTACCCTTTTCTTTACTTCTCTTCCTTATAACGCAATGTTTTTTTGTAGGTCGGCAGTTCACAGCCTCACTTTATAGTGCAAGGACCCTACATAATTAGAGAGAGAACCCCAGTGATCCCTAAGGAAGCACTTGGCAAAAGTGGTGAGGAAGAAATCCCTTTTAGCAGGAAGAAACCTCCAACATGAAGGTGTAGGAATAAATTAATATATAAATAAATAAAAATAAATATATTGTGAGTGAAAAAAGGCCAGTGGAGAAGGAGCGCTCAGTGCATCGTGGAAAGTCTCGTCTTCCAACCTATAGAGGTCTGTGCAACTATAATTTCCCCCTTATAAAATGTAATATGAGCTTAAAATCCCATTGGGCAAACTCATCTGAGTGCTGACTAATGATGTACTGTTACTGACAGCTCCAGAGTAGCTACCAGATGGAGCACAACGTCACATTATTTTGTAAAAAAGATACTGTAAATATTCATGCTGAATTCCCAACTCCAGAAATGTGTTAATGTTAATAAGTCAAAGATTCCACGTAAACAAAGAAACAAACTAACACTTATATTTTTATTTTCTTATTTTGTGCTTTTAGTCCCAGTCATTTAAACCAACCTTGTCAGATACAACAAACATATAATATGAACTTCAAATCTTGACGGTAAAACAGGCGATTGAAGGCACTTTTGGAGTGAAGTGGCAAGAACTCTCAGACACTTCTAAAAACTCAGTTGCCTCTTTTATCAAAGAGATGCAGAAAACACGACATCCCATCATACCCCCGCCTTCCTCTCCTCACCCCTGCTTCTCATCATTAGCGCCAGCGCTTAGCAGAAACTCCAGAGAGACACGTCTCTGTGTCTGATGCAGCGCTGAGGCAACATGATTAAAGACCGAGCTGGGCCACAAGATAAGACCAGTCACACTGGAGCAAAGGCTTCCAAGCAAGCCTCTGTCATTCCACCTTCACTTATGCCACAGCTACACATTTAAAAGAGTCAACCGTTCACGGAGACATAAGAAGAAATGGAGACATTTGTAAGGTTTTGGAAAATGCATTGAGGGTGTAAAAGAGAAATAGATGCGAGGTAGAAATGAAGGAAATTTGTTTTCATGTGACTTGCTCCCCGGGCCCGTCATGTGGAGGAAGTGTTGGAACAAACAGGCAGAGTTGAGTTGTGGTCACTTAATCTATCTGACCTTGTTTGCTTCATCACCCTTTCAAATCTGTTTCTCAAGTGATCTTTGGTGTGAAAAATAACCACCTGAACTACAAAGTCCAGGGAAAAAAGAAGGACAAGAAGAAGTAGTATTAATGGAAGCATATGTTTATCATTGCTGAGGCAGTTAGATTGAAAAAACAAAACAAAAAACAATCTGTACGAATTATGATGAACAAAAGGGCGATGACCAGATTGTCAGAGAGAAAGAATTAATAGCTGGTGAATTAATCCTTCTTTTAAATGAAAGAATCTGTGTTATCTCCATATTTGTGCACTTTCTGGCAGGAGCAGGTAATATAGCTGTGTTCACTACATTGCTCATTTAGCATCATGACGGCCATCATCCTGGTCTCGTGGCAAAATGAAATAGTCAATAAAATGCAATCTGTTTGTGTACATTTCTTTCATTGCAGTCAGCAGTATTCTGACACTGATAGATTTTGATTAGAGGAATGTTTCATGTCTGCACCGCACATGTTACACAGACTCCTCTGAGCGGACGCCTCGCCGTGGGGATCGTGGCCAAAAACAATACGACTTCAATTCCAGAAAGTTGGAATGCTGTGTAACATAAACAAAAACAGAATGATTTGGAGATCTCACAAACCCATATTTTATCCACAATAGAACAGAGAAAACATATTGAATGTTTAAACTAAGACATTTTAATATTTCTTGAAAAAAATATTCACTCATTTTAAATTTAATGGCTGCAACAGGTCGGAAAAAAATGGGACAACAAAAGGCTGGGAATACTTTAAATATGTCATTAGCTACAGCATAGGGTATCATAAAAAATCTGGAGAAGTCTCTGTGTGCAAGGGGCAAGGCTGAAAATCAATACTGAATGACTGATCTTTGAGGACTCGGACACAATTCTGTCATGGAAATCACTGCAATCACTTTAAAGGCCAGCATCTCAGGTGGTAAGAGGGTACACGGCACATCTGGAAAGGCATCATATATGCTGAAAAGTCTATACAGGTTTTAGAGCAATATATGCTTCCATCCATCATGTTTTTCTCAGGCATATTTTAGCAATACAATGCTACACCGCCTACAAAATCTATTACTGCAGCATGGCTTTGTATTTAAAAGTGCTAAACTGGTCTGCCTGCAGTCCACATCTTTTACCAAACTGAAAACATCTGGCACACCATGAAACAAAAAATAAGACAAAGAAGACCCAAGACTGACTCAGGCAAGAATGGGACAACATTGCTCTCCCAGAAATCCAGCAGCTAGTTTTCTCAGTTCCCAGACATTTACGCATTGTTGCTAAAAAACAAAACAAAAGAGGGGATGCCACAGTTAAAAAAAACCAAAACAGCAACAACTAGCTGGTGAACAGAGAGCATTTTTCCATTCAGTAGTTCGCACACAGAACTCAAGTAGACCCACAATGAGTGATAGTGTAGTTCTGTAACTGTTGGATGTGTGATTAAGTAACTTTTTACTCCTAACAAGTTTGTTTTCCCCAGACTGTGATACTGTTGGTTTAAACTTTCTTCTTTACATCTTTTACTTGAACTCTCTTTCCTCATGTGATGGACTAAGGCTGAATGTTTTTCCCCAGAAAGGCTTCTTTCATGCTAATAGCTTAAGGAAAAGAAAACGGGTTGACTAAAACAAATGCACCCATTCACAAAGCTTGGAGTCAATGGCCCGACTGTTTGAATAGGACAGTTAGATCAGTTATCTGAAAATATGAATGTGAAGTGAATGTGATCAATTTCCTTTATTAATCAGGGTTTTCAAATCTTCTGCGTTAACAATAACTTTGCATTTGTTTTATTTAAACGACATTTCAATGAAGCTCAGTAGCTAATTTACTGTTCACCGTGCACTACTAACATACAAAACTTTCTGCTAAAAAAAAACATTTGGAAACTGCTACAAGACACTTCCCCTGAGCAGGTGCACGACACATAAGCCTATGGCCCAGGCCAAGAACGCTTCAGCCTTAGCACAGGGAAATGTGTCACAGCCTCACCAGTGGTTGGAGGCCTTGGCGTGGACTACAGTCGTGTCCTTGGGGTAGATATGGCGAGAAAGTGGCACAACATCAAAAGACAAAAAGCAAATCTGTCTTTGTCCTTCACGGCTGCCAGGGATTAAAAGGTTGTCCTTTGAACAGTTGGACTCGCAAGGACTTACACAGCAGCACTGCTTCTGTTCCCATTCCTCAACGCCAAGACTGTGAGGACGAGTCCATGCCAGTCCTGCTTTTTGACCTGGTATCCGCTCAAAGAATGAATTTCCTCCTCAGTGCACCACAATGCACCGGGAAGCAAGGGCCAGGGCGCGCGCCTGCTGTGATGTTAATTTAATGACGAGCTGCTGTTCAGATGGCAGGTCCAAACAGCTGAATAAAGCAATTGTTGTCTTTTTGCTCCATTTTGTAAAGACTGGGGGGGGGGCCCTCCACCTCAAGGGGTGCTCTCTCCTGTTTGGTGCCCAGAAGGGAGCAGCTCTTCTGGGTACCAAACAGTAGATCCTCTGTAAGTACACTGGAGTACAGTACTGCAAAGAAAATAAAAAGTTCCCCTCCTCTTCACTGCTTGTTTATTGAAAGAGGCTCATTTGGATTTTTTCCATCTCCCCCCACAATAAGACTTTACCCTAATTAGTTAATTAATCTTAAGTGAAATTCCA